TTGTCTGGGTGAGATGAACTGAATGATCATCAAAAGCAATCCTATCTAAGTCCAAGTAAATTAAGATCATGCATTTAAAATATAATAAGAAATTTTGAGGTATATTTTGAAGGATCAAATGATCTTCAAATCTTATAAGTTTATAGTCAAATCAAACCTCTCGATAAGATAAATCTAATGAGTCTAAGCGTGCTTAATTTTAATATCATTATTTTATGCAAATACCCATCAAAATATCATTCAATCAAGAGAATCACTCTGTGTCTTCTGATGTTCAAGATTCAAGCAGTATTTATGAAATATGTTACTAATATATCTATAAATAGAGCCACATTCTATTCATAAGAGGGCACCCGAACCTGGATGAGAAAACTAAAGGGAGTTTCAAGTTCTTGAGGATTCTTGAGCTTCATGATTGAGTGACCACTGTCTTTGGGCTCACTACAAGCTCACTACAAGATTTATGTCTTTAGCGTTACAAAAATTCGATGCTAAAATGTGGAAAATCCGATGCAAACACATTTTAGCATTAGATTTTCATTATTCAAAGCGTCGACATTAAAAGGGGGGTCGATAAAAGAATTTGAGTCGAAATAAGTCGACACTAATTGTTTGCGTCAACTATAGCGTCAACAACATTCATCGTTAACCGGTTATAAGTCTCCCAGCCGACACAACATTTAAAGTCATTTTTGCGTTGAAATTGGCGAATGCATTTTTGCATCGTTTTAGTGTGACATGGTATCGAAGAGCATCAGAATGATTGAAGGGTTAGTGTCGGAATTGCCGACATAAGTCTGATGGAAACCTATAACAAAAAAAAAAGAACAATCTGATTTTGACAATTTGCAAACAAAAAAATGAATATCACAATGATTTACTTATCCATTATCACAACTCAAAATTTATAACGCAAATGAGTACCAACAATGAAAAAGAACATAATGTAACTAGTATTAATCTAAATTCTAAAAATTACACTTCTAAGCTCATAATATAGGTTCACATATTAACAAAAAAAAACATCAACTCTTAATCATTTTTCTCTCCCTCCTCTTCCTCCTATATATCCAAAAACTCATAGGCCGCTTGCCTCGATATTCTGCAATGCTCTATGTCAAGCATGTTATGAAATCCTCAACTCTATAACCATTATCCTTCGCGCATCTGACCATTCTTCTGACAGAGTTCTTCATTCATGGCACTGACCTGCCTGACAAGCTCCTCATAATCCTCCTGCAATAAGCATGAGCCACCCACAAGAGAACGACAGAGCTCGGTTTTAAATGTTATGCCCTCTGTGCCCACGTCGTACACCCTCCCCTTCTTCTTCCCTGCCATCTGCATCCATAGCTCTATATGAGATAGTGCAGTGGTAGTCTGGCCATCACTACTGCTCGTGGATGTCAGTGTGGCTGGTCAACTGCCTCTCCCGAAGCTACTCATAGTCCTTCTACATAAATAAAATTAATGGTTAATTGTCATTTTTAATATTAAGAGTCAAAATAAACGCATAAAAAAATTATTTTGTTAACTTTCATTGACCTGTTGAGCAAGTTTGGAGATCCAATGTTGTGTCCTCGGGAGCTGATGCCTCAAAAGAAGCAACTCTACAGCGGAGGACAGACGAACAAGCTCATTTTCCTATGTAGCTTAAAAAAATGTTTAGTGCCACATAATTACATCCACCATTGTGTTTTTGAATATTTACAAAATCTTACTAGCCCCAGTAGTGCTCTATGTGGGGAACCGAGCCTCTAATGTGGAGTGCAGTGCTCCTGGCCTCTGGCCCTGGCCCCCACGGTCGTCCGGTTTTGCTGGCTTGTTTGCCTTTTCCATTGATAATTCAGAGAGGCCTATGCACAGTTCTACCTAGCCCAAATCTCCTCCCTCACCCAAATGGTCCACTCCCCCTTTCTAGTCTGCGATGAAAATGTCACCCAGCCGATGCTTACCACGAACCTTAAAAATATAACAAATCTGCTGATGATACTCAGGCCGCCAATAGAAGGACTCCTGTAAACTAAAAATTGTGCAATGTTGTTCAGTATAATAAAATAAATTAACATGAGTATTCTAATTTAAATTAAATGATCCTACCTATGCTTCCATGAGAGATACACACAATCCTATCTTCTCTGGATAATCTATGTGATGTGTTCCACAAGTGACATTTGACGAATGGATATGAAAAAATACTAGTTACGCATAATATTGAGAATGAATAAAGAACTTATTGTAATGTGCAAAATAACTTACGAGCCTCCCTTTGATACAATATATACCCTGTCGCAGGTGTCCTCTCTCAGAGGGTCGAGAATCGAGGGGCGCAACTCATTGGAGAAGGGATCTAATTGTTGAGTGAAAATTGGCTCAGCTATGGGCACAGATGCTGAGAGGGACGTGGAGCAAGATGGGCTACAATAAGAGAACCTGATGGTTGAAAAGGTGCGGGAGATGTTGTACTGGTTGTCTCGTTGCTCACCAAAGAAGACGGACCCTTCTTCAACCCTCTGTATGTACTCCATATTTATCCTGAATACAAAGTCGCTCAGGTGACTAACCACCATCACCACATGTCGTCATCTGTAATAGGAAAAGACAATTAATAAAATTAGTACTGATAACAATAGTAATCAAGAGCAGTATAATATAAGCTGCAAATGAAAAATGAGAAATGTGCGGAATTAAATAGGAAACATATCGTAACTATGTCTAAAAATAATAAAGCAAGCAAGAGAAGTATAATACAAGAAAGAAAAGTAAAATTAGAAAGGTGCAAAATCAAAATAAGAAAAATGTCAAAACCACATCTAAAAATAACAAAACTAAAAACAGCAAAAGAAATTATTCATCCAAACATATAAATCATTTTGATTATGTTTCATTAGACGAGCCTATCAAGGATGAGCTTAAAGTTTATTCTTCAATGTCATCATCAATGTCATCCATATTCTAAAGAACTTCTTTGTAAATCCTTGTGTTATCCTCTAAGACAAAAATTTCTTCACTTGAATCAATCTAAATATAAAAACTTGATATATATTGCTTTTGGTGAATGAGTTCGATAATACTTTGCATCTCAATAGTTTTTCTTGGTTTATTCTTCATAAACACAACCCAATCAAGCTTATCACTTGCTCTACCAGGGAATCGAAGGTAATAAACCTGACTAACTTGACATCTAGAATAAATGGATCAATATTCGCATATCTTCTATTTATTTTGACTTTCGTAATATCATATGTGCTAATTGTTCATATTCCTTGATAAAGAACACATTCAAACCACTCACGGTTGAGCATATGGACATTGCGTGTAACATTACTTGGATATTGCAACTAAACTAATTCTTCAAGTATGCCATTATAACTATTCTTATGATTTGTGTGTATTTCCGCAAAATGAAATGCTATAATTATACATATTTTTATTTCTTCACACCAGAAACTCATTTAAAATCTATAATTGTTCACATATAATTTTTATCATGTGATAAAGCTACGATTAGCACCCCCGAGCAAGGTCTAATAAGTCCAGATCTATAATTATGTTGCTTATATTATGAAGCTATAAGAAGCCATAAATTATAATTAGTCTTACTTTAAACGAGACAGTTATATCATGTGCCGGCGAATTGAAGAGTTGTTTCAATGCATGAATATTTTGAATCATGTCAAAAATTCTTCTTCGTTCTTCTTGCTTTTTAGAGAATCATCAGTTATGTTTAAAATGTTGATAATTAATCTGCTCACGTCATTATTATTTGTATGTTTGAGTTAATTAGCATAACATTCTGAATAATAACAAAGAACATAGCTAAGATTAATGGAACTCTTACTCAATAATTGGCTACATGTATAATATCACCAACTCTTACATTTTTATAAATATGCTAATAATGATAAAAAGCTTAATGAAAGAGCTGCCATTTATCCCATGGGTCATGAAAAACTAAACGATAAATAATGACACCCATATATGTATTTTAATAAAAATAAGCTATACTTTATTCCAAAGATGAGAAATTTTGATATGCCAATAATTCCAAATAGAGCCTTTCAATAAAGTCCATCATTTAGAAAGTAGAAAGGGATAAGATATGATTCTTCCAATTACATGCATTTCAAATAAGAAGTTCAAATTTCAAGAGGAAAAAAATAAAGTATCTTTAAATTTAAGAAGAACAACTTAAAATCATGAAACCTATTTGCTACACCCCCACTATAAAGAAAACTAAAAATCATTGTTATAATATTTTTTAAAATATATTTTTGCAAATAATGTTTTATAACCTAATAATGGACATAATCTTAAATGATATAATAAGCTAATATCTCCCACCATATAATGAGATTTTTACATTTTCATCCATCAAGCCACTGACAGAGTCTATCAAAAAATATGTTACAACCCTTCTAATTAGTATCTTAGTGAGAGATAAAAGATCCCTGAGTTATTTCTAAGAAAAGAGCAATGTATTCATATAAAAAATCTGACCATTTCATTATGGTTGTTTATTGATTTAATAAAAGAAATTACAAATCTTGCTTAGATTAGCAAAGTGCCCCATACATTGGCTAAATAGAAAAGCACCCTATATGATTACACAGGCCTTAATATCACTATAAAGAACATTGGCAAATCTCAACTGGTCAAAAAGAGAATCATCAAAGGACCTTCATATATTTATTCTCTATAAGATAAGAAAATATTACCCCTTCGACATTATTCGTGACTATATCATTCTGATCTATAATATATCCCCTAAACTACCCCTTTTATGATCACATATAATAGAGCAATGATGATGCAACCAACAATTCAATCAATAAAGTCTAAATTTATTCACTTGCCAGTTGATAATTATAACAGAAATATTCCATTAAAGGCAACAAAATTAAGAAAAAGAGTGCATGGAAGCCCTTAATAATGTCAGAAATTCATATAGTATTTTGTACAATATCCCTATTATTCATATAACAGTAATTAATCACCGGTATAGATTTTTCTGAAAAATCTCACTAAGGTTCCATTTGGGGCAGTTTATCCACTGCGGCAGCGTTTTGAAAACAACACCTTACCATTTGGAAACTGAGTTTGAGCAGTTTATCCAAAAACTCAGTTGGTTTTTTACAGTAAACGCAGAATGCAGGTCAAACCTTACAGTCCGCATTTCCAGATAGACGATTTATCTGAATAAACACAAGCCGCCCCAAACACACCCTAAATTAAAACCGTTGTGTATATCCTCCCCAATTATATGGATACGCCCCACCACCACCCACCGGAAACTTCCCCTGCATCCCGTCCCTCGCATACTGTTGCCACATCATCTGTTCCTCCACAAACAATCTCTGTTTCTTCTCCAACTCCGACATCTGCACCCACGGTGGCGGCGCTACTGCTGATGCTGCGAATGGGTCTCCAGATCCGCTGGTGCTGATGGCGCAGCCATCCGCTGGGGCCGGCAGTGCTAGCATCCCCTGCACCGGCTGCCCTACCCCGGTGGTGTTTCCTGCAACTCTAGCTTCTGTCGCCGCCGTGCACTGGCTGTACATTCCTTCGAGCATCAGCATATCAAATCCGCCGGCTAGCGCCGGCTTTTTACCATGGAAGTTGCTGGCGGATTCAACGAGCGCTTTCTCCCAATCCTCTGTCTCTTTGAATGGCTCCCAAGGCTGCGCCGCCACTGTTTCCGTTGGAATGCCGTCGAACAGCGCGAGGGCGAGGCTGTCTGGGTGAGCTTCGTTGGTTGCTGCGTCTTCCTGGAAAGAAATGTTGTAGATCAGCGGGAACTGGACTAGCACAGAAGCAGAACTAGAAAAGAATCAGCTTGTTTTCCATTTATTCAGCCACAGCAATCTAACTAGAGCAATAAGCAAATTTGATTCTTTAATTATGTGAATTTATAGTTGTTGAACTTCGATTTCTAAGATAAATATTCGATTGAAATGCTCTGATTTCACTGATTTCGACAGATTGTAGTTGATTTGAAAAATATATATTTTTTTCCTTCAAACTAGCAATATAAATATTTTCTTATGCACTCCTGACAAGTTAAACTTCAATGGTTTTGAAGTCAATTATTCAAACACTCATAACTCCTTGATATTTATAATAATATTATCTAACTTCATTAGTACAATAAATTTATAACATATAATTTCATTTTTAGTAAGCACTCAATGATTTTGCTACTATTATTTTTTTTCATTTATGCATTAAATTTACAAAAAAAAATTAATTTGTATGCGACAATTTATATAGACCACGCGCACGCTCACGTACTAACATGCTCAATATATAAATATATAGGCATTAAGCGGTATGTATATATGTAGATGCTCCTAATTTCAATGTGATGTCAAAAGTGATAGGTATGTAAATATAGAACTTATGCATTAGATGTGCAAAAACATAGGAATTGTGCGTTAAAAATGTAAAAAGTTTGTTTGTTTTGGAGAAATTTACATGCATATCACACGTCTTATGTATATAAATATCATACATCTAAACTTTCATATTTAGACGCATAACACTTTGATACTTTAGTTTATGCATGAAAATATCTTTTTGACTTTAAAAACATATTTTAGTGTTTTTTAAATGTGATATTAAAGTCTTGACCTTTTTGCATGTAAATGTGAAAGTATAGGATTGATATATAAATACATAAGAATTGTGTGGTATGTCCTTAAATGGCCGCAATTACCCACGCCAACTTACCTGAAGATTGAGAAAATCTGCTAATTTCTCCTCCGCAACTGCGGATGCCGCCGTTTCTGGTTCGGCTGGCCAATTCGACCAACTCCTTCCCACTTTCCTCCACCTCCTCCGGTGGCTCCTCCGGCGGCGGCGCCTGAAAGACCTTGACATTCTTCACCGCTCGAACAGCACTATCATGTTCTTGTGCCGATGAGCGACGAGAGAGCTGGGGATCCGGGAGCGATGAGCGGTCTCGAATGAAGTCCTCCATAACCCTAAGATTGTTATCAGTGATGTGTTCGATGTCCGGGTAATCGGAGGGGCGAGCAATGCCGGCAGAGCGCGACCATGAATGGAAGGATTCGAGCTCCTCAAACTGCTTGGAGAGCTTGGAAAAGAGATCGTGGACGCGGACGCAGTCGGGAACCAGAAGCTCCGTGAAGCGGTCCACGAAAGCGGAGGTGATCTCCGTCAGATCCAGGTAAATTTGGAAGCTTTCCTTCACCACAGGGTATAATGCCATGGCTACGATTCTGTTGTCCATCGCAACCCCTGCAAATATGTACATGCACCTTCGTGTTAAATTGTTGATCTTTTTTTTTTGCAATTGCAGTTTTTTGTTTTTTTCTAAATTAAATTCCTAGTGCACATAATGCACAATCCTTGAACAATCAAAATTACATTTTTCCATTAATTACCAGTTGGGCGGCACGCGAGCAATCGGTCAAGCAACATCTGTAGATGGTGCGCCTTCACCAAAAGTCGGTCAGCTTTCATCTCCCTCACAGGTGTCGACCTTGCCGGAGTCGCCGGACCTTCCCCATCTTCCCCCTCCTCTTCCCTACCCATCCTCCTCCATCCCTGCCATCCCACCGTCGCCGACACCAATGTCGCCGATCCCCCCCTGTATCTCCTCCCCAACATCTTATACTCCAATCTCTCATCAAGATACCTCGCATAAGTCCTCACAAACGCCGAATAATCCCATCCTTCTGACCTCGATCCCGCGTCCCTAAAGTCAGCCATGTTAAGCATCCGCGTGCCGCGCCTCGTCCCGAAGAAAACCTCCCGCTCGTAGGCTGGATCTCCGTCGGCGAGCAGGCGGTGGATGAGCACAAGCGCCTTGAGGGCGACCGCCCAGCTCCTGGTTTTGCCAAGTCGGCGGGAGAGGAGAGCCACGCATGCGGCTATGTTGGTGCGGGAGTAGGATGTGAGGGAAAGTATCTCTCGGACGTGCTTCTCTTCAGCGGGGTACTCGTCATGGCGAGTTGCTTTCACGATGGCGACCTCAAGCTCCGCGAGTGTTGTGCTGTTGCTCACTTTGGCGAGTCCTATGCTTGTTTGATCTTTAACTGCGCCGAGGGCTTTTCGTATTTTGCTTGGTGCCATTTTTTTCTATTGTTTCTGCCTCTGTTTTGGTAATGTGTGGTGGGTCGTCGTTCTCATGTGGTTTGGGCTATCGAGAAAGAGAGGAGGAAGGGAAAATGAGGGAGGGAGATTGAGCAATGGCTTTTCCTCTCATTCTCTCATTCTCTCTTCTCTCCTCCATTTTGTTCGGTTTCTTTGATTTTTTTTGGAGAACTTGTGCTCATTTTGCTTTGTTGGTTTGCGGTGTTCTGTTTTCCTTCGGTGGATGGGAAGGGTTGGTTGGCGCCTTGTTGGATTTAGTGGACATGGCGGGTCGGGTTATTTAGGAGAAATTGAGGTTGACTTTGTTTTCCTTTTCTGTTTTTGTCCCTCGATTTGGTTCCGATGCTGAGAAAAGTGGCATTGAGATTTCACATCCATATCACAAATTTTATCCATTTAAGCTTTCGCCTGATTTTTTGAACTATCAAAATTCATATTTGCATGTACTAAAATCAAATTTGATATCCAATTTAATTTTTTATTTTGAGAAATTTGCTTGCATATCATCACATATTTCTTATGTATTAATATCTAAAGTTTGATATTTATATTTATAAAACTTTGGTGTCTTAACCTATACAAGAAGAATATATATTTTTCTTTTGAAAAGTTAATAATTATGTGGTTTTAGATGTGATATTAAGGATTTGGGTGCTATGTGAGTAAATAAGAAAGTTTAGGCGTTAGATCTTAGATATATAAATACATAAAAATCGTGTGGTATGTAAATGCTCTGTACACCTAATTAGCATAAATTTTAGTAGAATATACTTTTCAATCTTTTTCATCAGGTGTAATAATTGATCAGAATTTTTCTGTAGGAAAGCATGCAACAACAAATAATAGGAGTTTATTAGTGTATATCAATTATATAAAAAGACGAGTTAAACATTTAAGAGATACACATGCGCTCTTATGCTCTCTTTTAAATCTACCTCTAATTAGGTCTTTCCCGCAACTAAACTAATACTTGTTGCAAGCCTATAAAAGTTTCCTTAGGCAGCACTAATATTGCAGCCACAAGAATCTGTTAGATATTTTAAAATTACTTAAAATTAATTATAAAAAATTCATGTTACCTCAAACACTTTATATCGTTTATGGAGATCATATATCACATATTGTGACATGTATCTTCTTCCAAAATACATATGATGCTTCAAAAAACCCTCCTTCTAATCTTGAATATTTGGTGGGCTAAAGTCATATTGGGATTAAACCTTTAATTTTCATGAAATGGTAATAAAATTTTATTTTTTACTTTTATACAAGCATTTATTAGATACTTTGTCTTCAACCCTGGGCTTTTTAAATGTTCTAGTATTTATAGTTTTAATAGTTGCATTTCTTTGTCTATGCTTATGTAATTGGTATTGATTAGACCAACACTCTGTGTGTGCCAAGAAAGTACAGGTAATAATTAAGTAATATTGTGAAGGTGCTGTTGGTAACATGAATCAGTTTTACGTGATTTCAACTACTTTTTATCATACAGTTTTCATACTATTTTATCATATTTATCATGATTTTATACTTGTGGAAGGTTCATTGTATTATTTTAGAGATTATAAGTGTCAAACACACAAAACGGAGTCAAAATACACAAAACAGTCTGGTCCAATTTGACCACGCCAGGTCCAGACGTGACCACACTAGAAGTGGTGTGACCACAAAAGTTTGGGGCATGACCATTCTGGGGTCTGGTGTGACCACGTCGATGGACTGCCAAATCTTTTTTTGGGATGTTTTTTCATGCTGATTTTTGTTGGAGCTTTAATAGTTATGTTAGGGCAGGAATTGAAGCATTCTTGGGTGGAGAGGAGACTTGGAGACAACTGGAGAAAAAGTTTTTGAGAGTTTTCCTTGGGTTTCCTCTTCCTCTCTTGGGGGTCAAGGCCCTAAGGTATTTTCTACCTTTTTCTTTGCATTGTTCTTATATGTTTTAATAAGTTATTGTATGAGAGAGGAGTTGGCTGTTATGGAGGATAGAATAAATTATTTTGTAGATATTTACATTCTAGTTTTACTTATAACAATAGTTTTGTTGAGATTCTTTTTCTGTGTTCTTTTTAAGATGTGTAGCTAAACTTTCTTTCGCGCCTCTGTGATTTATGAGATGTAGTTTTCTGATTTTCTCGAATGATTTCTTTCCTTGTATTAGTTTCATGAAACATCAAGGCTTTTTCATTGTTATATTAATCATAGAGTTTCATTTATTCATGATCTGATTAATTATAATGTTAACATATTTTGTGATTTTTTACGCTTAATAGTTTCACAGAGGAACGAAATGGTTAACCACAAAATTTGGGTAATAATAGACTTATTTTATCCAGATTTTATAGCCTAAAAAAGGATCGAGTAAGCCTCAACTTCATGGATTCTAGCTTTCGTTTGACCTAGACATAGACATAAGAACGATTTTCTATCCATATTGACAATAATCACATTGAGGAAAGTCTAGGAAAATTATGAATCTCCATATTACTTAAATCACAGAGGGGCGAGCCTCATATACCTTGAAGAATAGTAAGAGTTATCTGTCTCTGTTTCTGTATTTCTAAACACTGTAACTTTTGTTATTGCTTTTAAGTAACATTTTATGAAACCAACTTCTATTTGTGATCATGCTAAACTAAGTTTAGAAGTTTAATAAATTAGAGATTCTCCCTCTATAATAATTCTTAACACTTTTCTAATGTGATTGATACATGATACACTTTAACTCTATTACTACTTGACACGTGCACTTGCATTTTACGACCGACTTACTTCACTATAAGTTTTAGCGCGCCAGTTAATTGATGGTAGAATGTAAATAGTTAACCATGTGGTGGTGTGATACATAACAAGATGAAAAAAATGTTGGGGTACAATGTCATGTATTAATAGGTGGAAATGAGATCGTATGTGTTAAGGAAAAGATTAGTATGAAGATGGAGAGGGTGTGGGATTTTCTAATAGGGGTTGTATGGGCAAGTAGTGTTGAGCCAATGATTAAATCTATTAATAGCCTATGACAAGATTTTTCACAGTTATATATATATATATATATAT